GCGACGATCGTCGCTCTGACGCGTCGACTCGCACAGTGTGCTCGCCGGCGCCACCTACGTTCACCGTCACGTCGTGGACGCTGTCTTGCGGCGACAGCGGCGGGCGGCGGCGTCTCGAATATTCGCTATCTTGCTCTGCACCGACACCCTCCGCCATCGTTCCTCTCCCGCCCGCCTGCTTCTTCCTCCGACGACTGCCGGCGCTGCGGCCGCTCCGGCGGCGCAACCTGGCGGCGCTCGGGCGAGACTCGGCGCGCGGCCGCCCGTCCGCGCGAACTCTCCGCCGTCCGCACGACGGTGACGGTACGCCTGACGTCGACGGCGGTCGTCCGGCCGCAGCGGCGGCGCCGCTGCCTCGTCCGTCTCGTCTCGACTGCGTCTCGGCGGCGAGACGCGCGCGGGGCTCGGGCTTCCGCCGTCGGACGCGCGCTGAGTCGTCGTCGTTTCGCGGTCTCGGGCGTCGACTGCGCGCCGCTGTCCGAGCTCGAGCCGCCGCTTGGCCATCGCTCTTCTGCTTCTTCTTCTGCGGACTCACGGAGACGGAGGAGGCGGCGGAGGAGGTGGTCGCCTGGTCGACGGAGAGGTTCATCAGGTGGCTGGTGCTGGTCGGCGCGATCGCTGCAACATCGATAAATATAATAATTATTATTATTAATATTAATATCGCTCTGATAATATATATATATATATAAATGTAATAATAACAATTATTATTATTAATATCGCTCAATAAATATATATATATATATATAAATGTAATAATAAGTGCGAGGAGAACAGAGGGACGAGTGATAATGAGGAGTGGCACGCACCGCGCTCACTCGTTCCTCTACCGATTCGGAGAGAGAGAGGGAGAGAGTCATCGGTGAGAGGGTGAATGCTAAGAAGAAAGATATGGTAAGCATTGAGAGCATGATGACGTCGAGAGATCGCTTTATTGCTATTATTGTTATAATAATAATAATAACAATAATAATAATTATGATTACTATTATTATCATTATCATTATGTTTTTGATATTCCTTATTTATTGCTGCTTTTACGTGTATGAGCAATTTATTTATCAACGCACATGCTAGTGATTACAGTAGTTCCCCGACGCATGTGAAATATGTCACCTGAGGGTGGTGAACTAAGCACAGATAACGACGGTTAATTTATGAACCATGAATATTATTTTCGGCTCTTTGCTAGGATATTGCCTGCATCTTAACTGTAGGCTAGATGATCACGCGATGCTATTACCTTTGCTTTCTTAAAGCTGGTTGTGCGACGTCGCGTGGTGAAGCTTGGTGTCCGCTTATCCTTCTTCCTCTTCAGTTCCTCTTTCGCGCTGTCGGTCCTCTTCACCTCTCTTGGCGTCTTGGTAGGTGATCCTGTACATTATGTAAAAAAAAACATGTAAATAAATTAAGAAAAAGTTGTCAAAACCACGAAAGCAACGTAAGCTTATATGCTCCATCACTTGCTTGAATTCTTCTAACTGTTTTGAATACAACTCACTGGATGACCATCGCCATCGCTAACAAAGAGCAGATAAAGCGATCGGGTACCTGGAGACTTTTTCAGGTGCTCCTCTCTCGGTGCTCCCTGAACTGGTCTGTACTCGGTGGCTTGCGCGGTCTCTTCTTTCACCATCCTACCTTCCTCGGCCTCCGCCGGTCTCCGGAGATGTCTCTCCTCCTGAGCCTTGCGACGCTCCTATGAGGAAAGCAATAGTGGTCAGTATGTAGCAGTTGTACAGCACTGTACAGGTATGAAACCTGCAATCAGCTGCAACATGTACTCCCTCGCGCAACAACATTGCTCGTGCTGTGACAACCGTCTTCCATAAACATGGGTTAATATGGCATAAACTACTGGTAATGCTCCTAAGAATACATGACTGAACGGACGAAGTACAACGGTTCAATTAGTTGACTACCAAGTTTGGGCTGAAAAACATCCATCCTTTTTTTCCCTAAAGATAAACTGAGAAATAACTCACAACAAGAATGTCGATGCCAGTACATGCAGTTGAATTTGCACCGATATCAACGAAAATTTACGAATGAAGATAAGATTGAATGTATAATTTTTTCTCTTCAATATGGCATCTTAAGTAGAAGCTGCCCTAGCTACTCACGTCAAGTATTCTCTCCTGCTCCTTGAGCTTGATGGCATCGAGTCGATTCTGGTTCTTCTTCTTCTCATCCTCCAGCTTCCTCTTCTCTTCGTTCTCCCTCTGCTGCCGGAAGGTCTTCTCCAGCTGTCGCGAGTCCAGTAAATTAGTTATGTAGTTACATTAGAGATGTTGTGTGTTAGTAATTTAGTTATTATGCGGGAGCACGTAGCAGCAATTACCCACAGTAACGAAGTTCATAATTACCAGCAATTAATTATCTCAATCAGCGCTCTATCGCACCACACAACGTGATACGGTGGTGGGTGTGATACGGCGATATGTGGGTGTGATACGGTGGTGGGTGTGATACGGTGGTGGGTGTGATACGGTGGTGGATGTGATACCGTGATGGGTGTGATGCAACCCACCACCGTATCACACCCACCACCGTATCACACCCACCACCGTATCACACCCACCACCGTATCACACCCACCAGGTGGGTGTGATACGGTGGTGGGTGTGATACGGCGATATGTGTGTGTGATACGGATATCGCCGTACCACACC